GGGATCACACCACACGCAGCTTGTACTGTTATTATTATGTGTTTTTCACTCGTGAGAGAGCTGTGGCACAGAGAAGCTCAATAACTTGCTCTAGGACACACAGCTAAGAAGGATTAGAGCTAGGATTCAAATTCAGAATCCTTAATAGGCTATACAGCCTCATCAATTAAAACAAACCACTTCTGATAAATTTCTATAACTTCCTCAGTTATTTTAATCACAAAGATACTATTTTTACGTCTGAGGCAGGTATATATCTCCACGTATTAAACTGACTGTGTTCTGTGTTTCCTCCTCCTCTTTTTCCAGACCACAAGAATCCTCTGTCCTCCATAGTCCACAGTGAAGCAGAAATAAAGATGTCAAAACAAAATGAACCTTCAGATTGGTGGCCGGAGCTGCAAACTCAGAGTCTGCTTTTCCTGTTCTGCCCAGAATAGGAAGAGATTGGAAAGGCAGGGCTGCCATGATAGGGAAAACTTTTATAAATAGCAAAAACCTATAAAGCGTTACAATGTCAAATGGCTTCTGCTGTCTCTAACAGCCATTTGCTTTGTTCAGCTCAGAACTAATAGGCACCGAAGGCACTAACTGCTGAATGAGGCATTGGTCCGACCCTGAGACAACAGGGCACAGCAAGGCCTTGAGCTCCGAAGAGACTGGAGCCACCTGATCGTAAGAGCGTCTGGATGAAAGAACCCATTGCTAACGTTGAACACCCCTTCCTACGGACTGGAATAGACAACTAGGCGAATCTTAAAGGTGAACTCCCCAACGGCAGAGAACTGCTAAATCTGGGTTGAAAAGATGAACTATCCTGTGGCCGTGATTTGAACTGTGAGAGTGAAATGTAACCACCCACATGAAGCCAAGGCTGTGAAACCCTATGAAAGGAGGAGTTGTGACCCAGAGTGTCGTTGATCCAGGCATGGCTTATGTGTGATCAACCCTTGTTGATGAGTAAATTTGTTATTTTACTTCCATTCTGCTGCCTCTCTGTGTGTCACTTACTGATTCCTTCCGTAACACTAGGACAGGAGATGGGGTGGGATGGGGTGATTCTGAGCATGGGAGAAACAGGGCCTTTGGTGAAAAGCACAAGGGGGTAGAGAGAAAGAGCATTAATCCTGAAAAAGACTTAAACTCGCAGACATCGTGCTAAGAGAAATCAGACAGTCACAAGGGATGAATACTGGGTGCTTCCGCTTACACGTGCTGGAACAATCAAAATCAGAGCCACAGAAAGTGTAGTGGCAGAGGTCAGGGGCTGGGGCAGCAGAGCAGGTGAATGGAGAGTGTTTAATAGGGATGGCGTTTGTTTCACAGATTTCCAGCAGAGACCTAAAATAAACATTTGTGTCTAAACCGAGACGGCATCAATAGTTGAAATGACCTGGACAGGGCCAGCCTGGTGACCAGGGGTGTATCAGGGGTCGCTTACAGAGTGCAGACGGCAGTGGGCTGCAGCGAACCGAAGTTACTCTCTACTGTACTAAGCTACAGCGTTTGCAGGGCTCCACTTAAAAACAGCAAAAGGCAGGATCAAAGACAAGAAGAGTCGTTGGGGAGTGAGGTGCACCCCGCTCCCACCCCATTGTTATGAGAGCTCTGCCGGGCTCAGGAAGCGCTGTCCAGCCGCCAGCCTGGCACTCGGCCTCGGCCTCGGGGCCCACAAGCAGAGGGAGATGCTCTGGTTCGGGTTTGGAGACTCTTCCCCTACAAGTTTCAGTTAGGGATGATGAGAAAGGTCTGGAGGTGGACAGCAGCGATGGCCGCACAACACGAACGCCCTGACGCCATGGAAGTTTAAAATAACTAAGAGGACAATCGTCATGTTACGTGCGTCGCACCAGCATTCTGCAAGGGCCGCCCCTCTTCAGCAGGCTCGGACAGACCCTCGCCTCACTCACGGGGACTGGAGACTCGGCCCCAGCGGAGGGAGGAAGCGCACGAAAGGGCTTCCAGTTCCCCGTGAGGGGCGGCGGTGGACGTGGCCACGCTGGTTCGCTGCCAGGTGCACATACTGTGCCACAAGAACCTGAGGGACTCTTTGGCTGTGCTTTGCCAAATTCCAGGAAAATTAACTCAGTCGCTGGCAGAGTGGGGCAGGAGTGCTTCCGAAAAGCTCCTAAATGCAACCCAAGAGGAAAAAAAATCTCTCAGGGCTCTTTTAGTTCTAAAGTGATGAAAGCCTCTGAATTAAGAAGAAAGCTATAGATGTTTATACAAATCATAGTTTTCCTTTTCAGTTACTGCCTTGGGAAGTATTTTCCCAGAAGGTACTATGAATTGAAGTATGATTATGATATTGCTATTTGGACTTATTACGCTAATCTATAATAATGCCATTGACCAAATATAAACGTGTTCTTAGCTCCATGCTCCATATTAGAATGTTTAATTTTATTTTGGCAAGATATATCCTTTTTAAAATGCATTTTAAAATTCTCTGCAAGTGTGCACATTTCCTTAAATGTTAATTATTTCACTTTCCTCTTGAATATCTTTTGACCTTTTACCATGTGCACTGATTTGTTAAGATCCTTTTAATGTGTTAATATCACAATAAATCGGCCACCATTAGTTGAGACTCACCGCGTGCTAAATGCTATATCAGCGTTTTACAGATATTAAGTTAATTTTTTCTTTTACAAAAGCCCTGCATGGCTGTTATTCCCAAATTATAAATGAGAAACCCAAAGTCAGAAAGCTAGTGGATAGCAGAGCTGGGATATGGATCCAGTTCTACGAGACTCGTTCTCTTTGCCAGACAGGCAAGTGCACCCCTTCCTGAAAAAGCTTCCCTGCCGCCAGCACCTAGGGGTGTTCAGTATCACGTGACCCCCGATCATGGACCACAAGTTAGGGTCATTTTGTATGTGCACCCTGGCCAGCAGCCAGGGCCAAAGAGGCAAGCAAGCCAAGCGAACCAAATGCTTCCTTGAGAATTGGAATTTGGAAATGTTCATAGCCAATACACTTACTAGCAGGGGCAAGAGATGGAAACACTAATCAAGAGATGCTTTGGATGTATTTGGAATAAAACAAGCAAACCATGGCACCCGAAGTCATGAGGGATCAAAACTAAGGTTGGCAGAGAAAGACAGTTGATGAAGAGTAAGCAAAACAGGGCTGGGGATGTAGCTCAGTGGCACAGAGCCTGTCTGGCAGGTGCAAACAAATATTGCACTTATTGCTGCTTAAAGACACAGCAGTGCAACCGCCATGTGGCCTGTGAGAGAGAAACCAAGGATCCAATCCTGCAAGCCTGAAGCTACCTGCTTTCAACCTCTCCAGTTTAGATCCAGTTCCTCTGAGTGTCCCTAAATTATGTCTTCTTTTCCTTGACATGCCCCTTCCCCGTTATTTATTACACTTGGAAAATCATGTGTTGAGCTCTGTAGTTTGGTTTTTTTTGGGGGGGTACCAGGGATCGAATTCGGGGTCCTTGTGCTTGCAAGGCAGGCGGCGGAACCACTGAGCTAAATCCCCGGCCCTTGAACTCTGTAGTTTTAAATGTATTTCTATTACTATTTTTCATTCTTTGGCCAATTTTTCAGCTTTTATTCTTATTACCAGCTGGTCTGGAGGCTTAGAATTTTGTTTCTTTTTAATGTTTCAAAGTTATGCTAAGGCAAGGACCTTAATGAAGCAGTATAGATGAAAGAGTATAAAAACAGAAAGAATTACTAAAAAAATACAGTGATACTATGGACTTCATTCATCGCTCTTTCCTGCCTTGGACAACAATTCTCACTAAGCCTATTTGCCTGAACAAGACCTAGCCTGTCTGTAGCTGATCTGGCCACCTATGTACCAAGATTTCATGTTGGACCCAGCAGACCATACCAAGGTTTGGTAACATTTAACTGGTTGAGTTTCAACACGGGATTACTTTCATCATCTAGCCGCTTCCTAAATCCACCTTCTTTTTCCACTGCCTGTGCCCCACAGTTCTTAAGTAAAGTACACACACAGCCTTAATGTAAGAGCGAGCATGTCTACCAGCCGGGAATTCTAAAAGGTCCTGGGAATACAAGGGAACAAAGATCTCTTGGGAAGTGTGTCCATCCTAATATCACGGCTCTTTCTTCTTCCTAAAGCAAATAATGGGGTGCAGCATACAGGAAGACACTGAGAAACACTAACCGCGGCGAGGCCCTCGGATCTAACCTCCAGATCTTTGGCTTCTCAGGGATTACTCGGCAGCACTGCAAGACCAGCGTCTGAATGCTTAACTGATGTGGCACTCTGCAGGGCAATGCCAGGGGAGGTGTCCTACGTGAAGTGCTGACAAGTTTATTAAAATGGAAATTGTCCGTAGGAATTGCTTTTACCTGCTGTTATTTCTCCAGGGAAAGGAGAACTCTGAATCAAACACTGTAACATATTCACATGGCTGGCAGAGTTGGTATTTTCCCAAGGCACTGATTTCGGTACAATTACCCCTTGCTACAGAGATCTGCAAGAAATCACAGAGTCTCCTCCCCCGGGAAAAACAAGGAACTAGGTGAATGCTATGGTTTGGACAAATGTCCCCCAAATGCTCTGTGTTGAAAGTGTGGTCCCTAACTTTGGTGCTGTTGGGAGGTGGTGGAATCTAAGATGTCAAGCCATTTCGGGGGTGCCCTTGAAGGGGTATTGGGACCTTAACTCCCTCTTCTCTCTCTTTGCTTCCCAACTACCATGAGATGGACAGGCCTACTCTGCAACACACTCCTGTCATTTTGTACTGTGCCTCTATAGGCCCAAAGCAACAGGACCAAGAGCCCATGGGCAGAAACATCTGGAACGATGAGCCAAAATAAGCCTTCCTCCTTTTAGGTTGCTTATCTCAGGTATATTCTTCCAGTGATGGAAGGCTGGCTAACACAGCCAGTGTTTCAGGTAAATCTATATTCCTACTCCAAATTAACACGATCACTCTTACTAATAGTTAGCACACTTCACCAATCCATATGGTGTAAGATGGACAGTGCAGGTGTTGAAGTCATACAGACCTGCGTCGGATTCCTGTTTTGTCCTCTTAGCCACGCTATGACCACAGGAAGGTCACTGACCTCTGAAAGCTTCAGGTCCCGACCTGTAAGATGGAGGTGACAATCAGTAGCTTGCAGGTAATGTTGCTGAGCGGTAATGTTAATAAAACTTACCAGAAAGCCTGCCTTGTGTGAAGTGCTCGATAAAGAGAGCTCAATAATAAACTGTTGATTGTTTTATTATTGTTAAAAGTATGAATTGAAAAAAATTGACTTAGCTGTCATAAAATATAGAACATACTTAAAAGCTAGATGGGAAAGTAAAAAACAATCCTAAATGATCCAATATTTTTCAGCAGAATAGGATGCTAAACACGATGTTCCTGTTACCTCTGAATTTTGGCAGCTGTCCCAGATGCTGAGGACATTAGTTTTCAGAACTATTCAGGACACGCGCCAAGACTGAAATCAATTTTGTAATCTTTAGTTAATTTTCCACCTCAGGAACTAAAAGAAGCAAGGAGATCAGTCTCTAGACCAGATTCTAGAAAGGCCAGCATCCAGAACTCTCCAGAAAGGGCTGACAGGTGCTATGCATGAAGCCCACACAGCTGTATGTGGAGGGGCTGGTGCTTCTCATAGCCTTAGGCAGACAGCTGCGCCACCTTAGCCTGTTTTGTTGCTGGAGGGAGACATCTGGCCAGACTACTGCGCCACTGCAGGCAATCCATTGTTCTTTTTCTCCAGAAGCTTTTATCATTTGTCTTTGAAAGTGCATGTTCCACCTGAATGAAGATTTTTGACTGTTTCAATTCCAGAAAACTTTATCCCTTTTAATAGTTTTTCCATCAGTCCCATTTTTATCTTGTTCTAGATTTTGTTACATAAAAATTGCATCAATATATCCTCCACTACTTTTTTCTCTCTTTATGCTGTATTTTCATGAAGGATTCAGTACATTTCGCATCACCTCTAAATGCCCCAAACAATAGCTGTCACAGCGTCTACCATCAGCACACCCTACTCTCCAGTCTATCTTTCCTGTCTTCCTTGCTTCCGTGAATGGGATTATTATTAAGCAGAAATCCTGATTCCTTTGTCTCCCAGGCTCACCCTCTCCAGACCCTCCATACTATTACCAGAGCAATTCTAAGAGAGTACAATTCTGATCAAGCTAATCCCATAGTCAGGAGAAGTAAGTGGAAATTTACTGGCTTTCAAGAATACACAGAGAAGTCACTCAGGCTGTGGTCCCTGCTTGCCCATCAGAGTCATCTTTCTACCACTTTCCAGTCACTCCACCTTCCAGTTATTCATTCCTTCAATATGCATTTTTAGGTAGTCAATACCTGCAATGTGCTAATTACGCTTCTGGATGTTGGAATCCTTTGGTAAAGAATGTGGACCCCTAACTCCTCTTAGTACTGAAGGTAGACAGTAAACAAGATGAGTAAGTAAAGTGTATAGTGTATCACGGGCAGTAAGGCAAGGGTAACAATAAAACAAGAAGGTGAAAGGTGGATGTGGACCATAAACAGAATGATGAGAAGGCTCGACTAAGATGACGATGTCTGAGTGAAGACCAGAAAGAGTTGGGGGAATAGCAGTAAAACTACTAGAGGAGCAAGCATGAAAATCAGAAGGGACATCAAATGCAAAGGTCCTGAGGTGGAAAAACACCTGACTTCTTCAAGAAACATTAGGGATATAAGTATGGCTAAGCAGGTTTGGAAAGGTAAGAAGTAGAAAATGAGGTCAGAGAAGTTTTCCAAGATGTTAGCTCCTGCAGCCTTGTAGGCCATTGTGAAGCACTTAGCTTCACTCTGAGGTGAGACAGTCTGGGAGCGTGTTGGGCAGAACTACGGCACATTCTACTCCCTGACGGAAAAGGGTCATTTTCTAGTCGAGTATGGTGGCACGTGCCTGTAATCCCAGAACTCTGTGAGGCTAATGGAGGAGGACTACAAGTGTAAAAATCTCATCTTGAGATGAAAATAACTTGGACAAATTCCAGATAAATATTTTGAAGGAGTTAAAACAAAAAGCTGCACTAATTACTGATTTAAGCTCCGGAGATACTTCTAGGGACTAAGCAGACGAAAACTCTACCAGGATTGAATGAAAGAAAGGGTCAGAGGCATGAAAGGAAAAGATGAGTCAGGATTTTGACTGAAGCAACTTAAAGGATAGACCTGCCATTACCGTGATGGAGGAGAGCAAAGAAAGCCACGTTGAGAGGTAAAAAGGGAGGATCAATTTCAGAATGTGACGATTTTGCTATCTATTAGACCTCTTCATGGAGATGTTAAATGAGTATTAGACATGTAAGTCTAGAGTGCAGAGCAGAGACCTTGGCCAGAAATGCATGCTTGGGGATGGCAGGTATATAAGTAGCACTAAAAGCCCTGAGAGTGGACGAGGCCAGGATTGAAAGGAAATGTCAACAGAAATGAGAAGCGATCCAAGCACTGATTACCACAGAAAGTAGGACGGACTGGCAAAAGAGACTGAAGAGTAGCCAGAAGGAGGGCACCGGGAATGCGGCATCCTGGAAGCCAGAGCAGTGTTTTACAGAGAGGAGTGATCGCTCTGTTGAATGCTACATGAAGACTGAGAACTGGCCACAAAGACATGGAGGTCATTGATGACCTTGATGAACACATATTTGAAGGACTTGCAGGGAAGACTTAGTATAGTGTATTCATTATAACCGAATTTGTATACCCATGTTCATTCCAGTACTATTCTTAGTACTACTAGTTCATGGCTAGAACGTGGTAGCAACCCAATGTCCATTAAAAGATGGATGGACAAGCAAAATGTGGTACATGCATACAATGGAGTATTATTCAGCATTAAAAAGGAAAGAAATTGTGATATATGGTGCAACATGGATGATCCCTGAGGGAACTACACTAAATAAGCCAGTAACAAGTAGACAAATACTGTATTTAAGTAGTCAAAAGTATACAAAAGTAGAATGGTGGTCGCTAGTGTATAAGGGAAGAGAGGAGTGGGGAATTATGTTTAACAGGCACAGAGTTTCAGTTTTATAAGCTGAAAGAGTTATAGCAATGGATGTTGGTGAAGGCTGCACAGCAATGTGAATATAAAGACAGGAAAGACGGAAAGTTTTATGATGTGTATTACACAACATTTTTTAAAAATGGGAAGAGGGAGAACTAGAGACAATGAGTATGGATGACTCCTTAAAAGAGTTTTATTATACAAAGCAAAGGAGGACAACAATGCCTGGAGAAAGAAAGTGCTTTCAGAAAGTGGATTTTTGCTGTTGTTCAAAATACTGTATATTAGTATATATCTGTTGCTGGTAAAACAAATTAACAAAAACATAGTGACTTAAAATGATACACCTTATCTTACAGTTCTGTAGGTTAGAAGTCCAACACAAGCCTCACTGGCCTAAATTCAAGATGTCAAGAATACTGTGTTCCTTTCTGAAGGTGCCAGTGGAGAATCAGTTTTCATGCCTTTCCCAGCTTCTGGAGGCACCTGGTGCAGTCCTTGGCTCCTGGCTGCCTTCCTCCATCTTGCAAGCCAGAAACACCACCTCTCTCTGACCATTCTGCCAGTCACTCTTCCCTCTCATTTCTTTTACCTCCTTTTCCTTTGAAGATCCCTTGTGATGGCATTGGGCCCACTGGGACAATACAGGACAACAGCTCATGAGGTCAGCTCAGCAGCAATCTAATTCCATCTTCTACCTTAATTTCCCTTTGCTACATAACTTAACATGTTCACCAGTTCTCGGAATTAGGGCACAGATATCTTTAGGCCTGGATACTGTTGCCTTTCACATATGGGATGCATTCCAACATCATTGTTACTGGGAATAATCCAATGGAGAGAAAGAACCTAATGATGCAGGAGAGGGCAGAGTTATTGTGGGATATAAGCAAGATGATGGAGGAAATGGCTTTTTGTAGGAGCAAGGAGAATTGCCCTTTAGTTAATAGGAAAGACAGGAGAGGACAAAATCTGTGGACAGATGTTGGATGGTGGGTAAATATATGGGACCTTGTGGAGTCATTACTTTCTCAGTGACTTAGAAGCAAGGCCATCAGTTGAGAGTGAGGATGGGGTAGAAGGTATTAGAGATGTGAGAAGACAGAAGGCATAAAGTTGACATCTAAGAGAAAGGGAACATGAAATGTCATAAGCATAAAGGGGCACACTTGAAGTCTGCGCTCACTGAAGTGTGACCAATTGCCTTGTTTTCTCCAGTCCAGTAGACAAATAATTGTACATAAATCAGTCACAGCAGGCTCTGGAAACTCCAAAATTCAGAGTTCAATACAGCCAAAGTTAAATTTCATAAACTAAGAAATTTAAATGAATTGTCTCTCTTAATTCTCACAATCACGGAATAAAGCAGGTTTTATTATTTTACCTTTTTTAGATGAAGAACAAAAAGGCTGCCTAACATGAAACTATAATTTTTGTTTTAGGTATTAAAGTAGTTTTATTTGGGGATGAAAAGTATTTGCATCATAAAGTTAATTCAATAAAAGTAACTTGATCACTACATGCATTCATTAATAAACTGTCACTTGTGTCAGCTATGATAGGCTATCAATTTCAAAACAGCTTACAATATTAGGAAATTTTTAAACAACTGGAGTAGCATTACTTTAATTTTCAGAGTCAGGTGACTCAGCTAGGCAATCCTTATTCTTCATTTTGTTTTGTTTTATTCTCTCTTGAATCTCGTTTAGTATTTTATTTACTTATTTATCTATTTATTTACTTTTGGTACCAGGGATTGAACTCTGGTCCTTGAGCTCACACGGCAGGCAGCAGAACCACTGAGCTAAATCCACGGCCCTCTTGTTTAGCATTTTAATTTTTCTAAGCATTTACCTATTTAACTTATTTTTTCAAATTTACTAGTATGAAGGCTTGGGATGTAGCACAATGACAGATTGCTTGCTGAGCATGGACAAGGCCCTGGGTTTGATCCCTATCACCTCAAAAAACCTTACCACTACAGGAAAAAAGTATTCTTACCCAAAAAAGTGTATTTGCCCAAATATCCTTAACTCAGTTCAATATTTCTTTTATCTTATCATTTTTGAATTTTAAAATAACTGATTAAATTTTAAAAGCCAGCAACACCATTCCTGGCTTTAGCAATTCTTTATGTAGAATTTTCTATACCCCTTTAATATACAATTTGTTACCTTGGTGCTCTAAAATTCATTTTCATACGGGTTTCATGAAACATGCTTATTCGTTTAAAAGAAAGCAGCTCTTCCTATTTTTTTCTCAGATTAAAAGATTGTTAAAATCATAAATATTTCACACATAAAGAATTAGAATTTCATTTTTGTTAGGAAAATCAGTATGTAAGCCATGATTCTCAAAATTCAGCAGTTTCTTACAGGCATTAAAAATTCTAAGTGTTCAACAGAAAATCATTGATTTAAGTTGTAAATATCAAGGGTCAATTCCCTATGCATTCTTGCTATTGTCTGGGTAAGAAGTTTCCTTTGGAACAAAAGAGAGCATATTATGCTAAAATAAAATATGGACTTTCCCTTGGGACATGACTAGTTATTTGCACTTGAGCAAGTAGTCACTGAATATCTGTTGGCACCCACAGATTAGACACTATATTAGGAGTGAGGGATATAACCTCCCTCTTCTCTAGCCTACCCCTGGACAGAGGCATAAGTTATAATCCTGCTTCTCCTATTGCCATTTGGGTAAATGGTGTATGTCACTGAAGTTATTTTAAGCCTCAATTACCTATGAGATGCAAGTCGTAATGACTACCTCACAGAGTGGTTACAAGAATTAAATGTTAAGAGGGCTGGGGATTTAGCTCACTGGTGCTGCTGCCTGACTCGCATGTGCAAGGTCCTGAGTTCATTCCGCAGTAGCAAAATAAATAAATGAATGTTGGAAATGTGTATGAAAAATATCTAGAACATAACAAATACGACTGTTAATTCCTCTTTCTCCCTTTAGATCCAACCTCACAAAAATAAATGCCTTACCTTGAAGCAGAAGCTATATATAATGTCCTTTTAGTATTTATAGCACATCCAAATTATCAATTAATACCAAATCTCCAAATTATTAGCATGTGGTTTTTTTTCTCAATCCTAGCACCTGACATTTTGGGCTGAGTAATGCTCTGCCATTTGGGGCTTCCTGTGCATAACAGGACATTAAGTGGCATCTATGTCTTCCCACCACACTCCAAATACTGGTGGCAGCACCCTGGATGTAAACATCCAAAATGTCTGTAGACAGCAACAGTTATTCCTCCAGGGTCAAATATCCACTCCTTCCCACCCTGGTGAGAATCACAGCATTAGCGGATCACAAATTCACATTTAGTGAATCTCAAACATTAAAAAAACAAAATTAAAAGGCATCTGATTCACTATAGACTGAATTGCATCCCCTTCCAATTCAAATGCAGGTCTAACCTGCAAGGTGACTATATTTGGAGGTTGGTTCTTTAGGAGATAATTAAGGTTAAAAGAGTTCCTACTCTCACAGCACTGTCTTTATATGAGGAGGAAATAGTTTTCTCTCTGTGCCACGTAAGGATACGGCAAGGTGGCCTTCAACAAACCTGAAAGAGGAAGGAACCTCATCAGGAACCAAATCAGCAGACACCTTGATCTGTGACTGAGAGCTTGGCCTGGGTAATTTCTGTTGCTGAAGTTGCCCAGTGTGTACTTTATTTTGCATGGCAGCCTAAGCTAATATAGAACTTTCTATAGAATAGAAAATCTTAGAAAGCATTACAGATCACCAGGTATTATTTAGTGATATAAATCTCTTACTACAAGTTTTGGTCAAAAGTTTGAAAAGACATCCCAGTACTCTAGGCAGCAGAAGCAGGAGGATCACAAGTTTGAGCCCAGTCTGGTCCATTTAGTGTCTTAGCAAGCCTTTGTCTCAAAATTAAAAATAAACAATGGGCTGGCAATGTATTTCTGTGTGAGGGCCCTGGGGTTAATCCCTAGTTCCACAAAAAAGAGAAAAGGTGCAAAGATGCAAAGGAGATTTTCCTGCGATTTTTTAAAGATCTGTAGGGCCCAAAATGGCACCTTCTGGAAAAGTTAGAGCCTTTGGTGGAGTCCAGTCATCAAAATGTAATATGAAAATATTAGATGGAGTATTAAAAATTTTCCACATTGTCTTGCTCACCGTGGTATATCCATAGCTACCAATGAAATGAATACATGAACGAATGAAACTTGCCAAAAATGGTGTAGTTTGTGTTCAATCAGCCAGGCCTCTGATCACCTTCAATACCACATGCTGCTCCCTTTGTCTGGAACGTTTCTCTCCCATCCTGCACTCACTTCAGTAAGCCTGACAGAGGCCTTGTGGAAGATGTCCCCACAAAACATCTTCCACAACACCTCTGACAGGCTTACTCCCTCCTCTGTTAGCTGTTCCATAGTTGTTTTCTGATGCTCCGTAACTATGCATCCTATCTACTACACTTCCCAACTCCATCCTGGAGGTGACATCTATTCAATTTGAAAAACCTGAAGCCACAGTTCCCACCATAGTGCTTTTGGCGATGTAGTTGCTATTTAATACCTGTTGACTGGCTGAGTGGAGGAAAACACTAAAAAAGCAAGTGAATATCGCTTTCAAGTTGAAGGAGAAACAATTTCCTTTCTGTGGTCTAAACTAAAGGGATTTTTTTTCTGAAGGAGAGCACGTTGGTGGAAGGCTCCTGCTCCGGTGGTGGCAGGCCACCACCCTGTGGAACCACTGTGCACTGCAGGCGCACCACTGTCCCAAAACCAAACTCCAAGAACAAACGCAGCCCCCACTGCTAAGCCCCCTGGTGTTTGTGCTGACCCTGCCTGCCTTCTGTGTATGTCCTCCATTTTTCAGACAAGAGTCGCTTTGGACCACTGCCAAATCCATGGCTTCCCAGAACCTGCTCTTAGTTAGTTCACTGGAGATAAAGCACCCAATTATTTGTATCTTTATCCAGTACCCCCAGTGATTCGTACAGTGGAAGTCTGGGAAACCAACCGCCTTCTTTTCAGTTCTATAGAATTCGGGTACCCCCCCCCAGTGACTTTACCTCCAGGTTAACTTTGGAATGTTACTGGTAATGGGTGGAATGCTACTGAGTTCCTCGCACAAAGCTGGACCTGACCGGACCGGTTCCAGGCTGCAGTGCGGGGCTTCTGAGGGCCGGGATTCCCCTTGCTGGGCTAACAGATGAGGTCAGGGCGAAGTGACTCGGCGGGGACAGACACCCCGAAGAGGCTTTCTCTTCCTTTTCTGAGAGCCGTGGTTAGAAGCCGCTCTGGGCGGGGGTGAGCCGAGAAAACGCAGGCCCAGGTTTTCGTTCCCATTTTCACGAAGTCGCAGTTCGCATCGCGGAGAGTGGTGGGCCAGGGTCACCTGTCTTCCTCTAGCTCCAGTGAGTTTATCAAGGACAAAGAGGCTCTGGCAAGTACATTTGCAAACTTTTTGAAGAAAAAGATTCAGCCAATCACGACCTTATGGAGCCTTACTGGACCACAATCATGGTACTCGGCCAAGGACCTCAGGAACTCAAAGCACTGCATCAGCTTGGAAGCAGCTTAACTCAACACACCCCTCTTCAAACAGGGACCGGACCCAGGTACTGCGCATGCGCGCACAGGTCCCCGCGCAGGCGCACTATTCCGTGCCGGAAGTCCGAATCCCAGAGCGAGGCGAGCCGAGAAGAGCGCTAGTCACGTGGGCCCGGCGTCCTTCTCCGCGATTTCCTTACAAGGACTTGGGCTTCGAGGCCCCGCCCCTCGCCGGGCTCTGGAATGTGCGGAGACGTAAAGTCCTAGGACAGTCGCAACCATCTGTGAAAACGGAAGGGGGAGGGAGACTTCAAGTGCAAGAAGCGGTGTAAAAAACGAGACTCAGTAATCAAACGTAAAGAAGCGCTACGCATTCGTCACGTTATGTTCCGTCGGCGTATACCTTATCTCAATCCGTCCTTCAACACTGCGCCCTGACCACACTGGCAGTCCCCCCGCGGCCGCCCTCCCATGGAGCCAGCCCACTCAGCTGGTGGACCGTGGGGACGCGGCTTCCTTCCGATGTGCTAAGCGTGGCCGGAAGTGCTGTTTTTTTTGTGGCTCCGGCTGTAAAGGGGCGGCGGTAGCGGCTTCGCTGGGCTTGCGGGGGTGCTGTGGTTCTCGCAGCTACGCAGGGTGAGTGGTGGTCGCGGTCGCCGACCCAGGGACCAGTGTCTGCAGGGCGGGGGGCGCATCTGGGCAGGTGTTGAGCGGGAGCCCAGGTTCTGAGTCCTGGTGTCGGCTGTGGGATCGAAGGCTGCGGCCACAAGTGGTCCGGACGCAGACTTCTCTTCTGTGTCCAAAGTGGGAGCGCGGAAAATGTGGCTCGCTGGCGCCGTGAGCTTGGGCGACTGCCGGGCCCGCGAAACCCGAGCCCCCCCGCAGAGCTGACTCCGGGGCTAAGTTTAGTGTCTAATGTAAACTTGTCGGATTCTAGGGAGTTTGGGCCTAAAGCGGAGCCCAGTGACTCCCCGTCCTCCTGGCTGTAGCTGCTGCTGCAGCTGTACGACTACGTTTCGTAGCAATAACCGACTCAAACTAGAGCTCACGATCCCTTCCTGGAACTAGAACCTGTCTGCTTTTGTGTGTTTGTTTGTTTAATAGTTGGACAAAGGAATGTGGGGTTTAGTTTGGCCGGAGGGAAAATTCCAGAATAAAATACCATTTTCCTTTTGGGTGGAGACTGAGTGAAATCAATCTGCGAAAGAGGAGTTTCCTTTTAATGTAGTTCAGTAGGTTTATTTATTAAAAACTTGTGAGTTCTTAGAAACCTTTGCAACAGAAATGGGTTAAGATTTTAACTTTTTAAATGCAGAGTTTTATATCTAAAGGTGAAGAAAGCGAATGTTGATTAAAATGGTGTTTGTTTTGTGCTCTGGGAGTTGTTTGATAACTACAAAAGCATTTTACTTCCAAAAGCTCAGCTTCATCGTCAAGTTAACCTTCACAGCTGTCTTTGTCAAGTGGTTAAGAACTTTTGGGTGTGGCGGTTTAAGAGAACTAATCCGGCTTTAACCGGAAGTTTGCAAAAAACCAAAAATTAGTTGGAACGGAAGCCTCAATTTGAAAAAAAAAAAATTTAAAGACTATGTTCGCACAAAAATCTCTTAAATTTGAAAATGAATGCATTAATGAAATGAGAAGTAGATTTGATCTAGCGTTTGAAAGCACAGTAACGAGGTACTAGCACACCTTGCAGTTCTAGGATGGGAATTTTTTTTTAAAATCAAGGATATACCTTATTGTCCAGTATACTCTCGATTTAAGTGTTCTGTAGAAAAAGTTTCTGGGTTGTTTTACATTTATAACCATTTTATAAATGCTGGACTCTTACATTTTAGCTAAAGCAGCATGTACTTTAGTATGGTTGGTTCTATTTTATAGATATATTTTTTAGAATCTCTAAGTAGAAGTTCCTAGACATTCTTGCATTTCACCATCTCAGAAATTTTCTGGCTGCGCGTGGCATGTGGGGAAACCTGCTTTGGTGGTCTCTGCCTTCTACTTCCATATTTTAATCTAATCTAAGATGGCAAGTTTCTTATCCCCCCTTTTGTTTTAGCCTTTAATGATTCTTCTCATGGAGCTCTCAGAACACACACACACACACACACACACACACACACACACACACACACACAAACAAAAACACAATTTATTAACA